TAGATAGATAGATAGATAGATAGAGATATATAGATAGATATATAGATAGATATATATTATAAGTACCGAATATTAGAAGTGTTGCAAGAGGGGAACAAAGGCATTATCTTTTTTGTGAAAGAAGAAGGGGGATAATATAATTATTTAATTTCTTTTTCTTTGACAAAATTTCACGGCCCTTAAAACACATTAACGTCAGATATGATGATATTAAAAGTGCTGAAGATAGTACATGTAATAGAGGTGTAACAAGAGAGTAACAGACGTGGAAAAGAAGGAGACATAAAGTAAAGACTATCGATGTTTTGATAGAAAATATGGAGCAAACCACACCAGACCACCCGCCAGCCACCTACGTTCTAAGTGCGTCTGGGTGGGGAAAGACTTGTTTGAGGAAAGAGAAGCACAGCACACCGACACAATACATGTATCAATAATGGCCATTTAGTGCCCGGGAAAGGGAAGATAGACAGACCGAAACAACAGAGGGAAAGTATAGAAGTAGGATCTGCCAGTGGCGCCCTCCAAACACCCGTAACGTGTGCCAAATTTTAGAGGTACACAAGAAAGTACAAAATTGTACTTCTACTCGCACGTTTTCATTCTCTTTTGCCGTTAATCTTTGAGTGGAGATTCAGCTTTTTACGGCATGCCAGCTCTGCAGCTCTTTCAGTTGGGATATTATACAAGTATTTTCTCAGGGTTTACTTGACTCCCCCAATCAATATGTTGCGTGGCCTACCCCTTCGTCTTTATAGTATAGCCTGAGTAGGCTACTTTGTGTTCTTCTGGGCTCCGGGGGCTGGTTGGCTAGGTGACATTCGTAATAGGTGGCCAAACCTTCATTACCCTGTTTTGCTACGAAATGCAGGCAGGACTCAGCAGTGCCAATTGTTTTTCTTACTTTTTAATTTCTCTGCCTGTCTCTTCCTGTGATTCAGTGTGGTGTCAAGGGCAGGTGCGGTTCGTCCATAGAGCACGGTCGTACAGTGCCGCCCAAAATTGTTTAATGTTCTATTACGAAATGCACTCACAAACAGGAAATAAAATAAGTCAGAAACAAACGCTAGCCAAATATAATTTCAAAACAAGCAGGTCTTCGCTGGCGCTGTAACAGTCATTACTGTGTCAAAAGCGCCGTAAAACATCTACTATACCATGCCAAAGTCCACGCGCTTTAACTAAACGTTAGGGCTGGAGTCTGCTCGATTAAATCGAAGGCTTGCGAGCAACGGACGGCTCGTGCCAGAGGCTTGCGAGAGAGCAGGCTTGAGCTTTGCCCGCTACCGGAGTTGCTACTCGTGGACAGCGGACGGGCTTACTGATTTG